GAGCCCAAAATGTACAAAGGTAAGGAGCAATGACGAACAAATTTTCATCGGAAAAAAAATTGATTAAACATCTGAGCAATAGTTTTTCTTATTTTTTTTCCTTAAAAAGTAGGAAAATTACAAGCTTATCTCCTGAATTGATTTTTATAAAATATGCTGACATTGCATATTTTTTTTATTTTACTTTCATTGTATTATTTATTCAAGAATGTTAAACGCAGGCTAAGATTGATTGATTTCTTTGACTCCTTTTTACACGTTCAAGTATTTATAATCTCATATTTGAAAAATATACATTAATAAAAAAGATATTCCTTAAGTTAAAGGTGAATTTAAAAATATACATTTTATGCAACTAAAACTGTAGAGACATTCATAAAAACGCAATTCTCTCCTTTCTGAAAGGATATATTTACAGATAAATGTAAAAAACAAAACAACATATTTTACCATGAGCTTCAAATGTATCAGTGGAAATTGTAGTTATTAGATTTCTTTTACTTCTTTCAATCGAATTCTGCTTTATACGTCAGCTAGAATGCTTTCAACAATTCGAAGAACGATCACATCTTTGAACCCTATTATCATTTATTTGACTTTGTATTCCTCGCACGAACCTATGTTCATTATTCTGACAATTTACCTACAAATGATAACGGAAAAGCATAAATACGTTCGATCTCTTACAAGTTTTCTTTAAGCAGACTTCTTATGTCACGATCTGTAGGTCAATCAGAGTGGAAATATATTTCAATTTATGTCGAAAAAATAATTATAAAATACCTACATGGTGGCCAATGTCTTCTTTTAAAAAACATTAAAGTTCATTTACAGTATTCTAATCTTAAAATGTCAAAAAAACTTCTGCTAGACTTTAAAGAAGTCTTATTTAAAAACCAGAGATAACTTTTAGATATACCGTAATAAGACTAGATTAAGTACACGGAATCGGAGTAATACTAAATATTATATTTCTAATTCATTGTCAAATGTTAGACAATTTATGTTGCCACATTTGACTAACAATAACACATTTTCCAAGTAAACAGACAAATGTTTTTCCAATAATGGGTACATTACAAGAAAGCAAGACAATGTTCTCTAGGATATCTTTGTCAAATTGGACATGACTTGTAACAGGTATAATCCGCTATCGTATCTTCAATCATTTTAGCAAGAATGGAGACAATAACGCTTATTTTGCAGAAAAGCTAATGGAATGCATCCTACTATTGAAAAATAATTAAAACAGTTATGATGATTAAAAGAAAACCAGTTACATATACTTTAGGCGGTTGAGAATAAGAATACCATAGGCGGTTAAACTTAATCTTCATAAGCCTCTATTTTCTTTAAGAAGCCTTTATTTAAAGAAACACAAAATATGCGGGTCTTCCGACTTCATTTTCATATCAACAATAAACTTAGGGTCGCCGGTGTGGCATAGGCAGCAAGAGTGGAATGCTTGCTTGTTCCAACTTTGGTTAAAATTTGCCCAGCGATTCATTCAATCATAACTTATTTTATTTCAATTTTTTTTTGCCCTAGGTACCTTACCATTTTTTCCTCAGACGGGAGGGGACAAGAAAACATATTTGTTTTAAAGGTGACCCTAGGTCTTTTTCCTGTCAGCATTGGTCCTACGTGTAATATGCTGCCGCATTTCTTGCCATTATTATTAAATGGACCCGCCGATTGAAATTATTGGTCAAATAAATTCTTCAAACCTAAAATAATTTTGATCTTAAGTCTGCGATTTTATTTTAATTATGTGTATTAGCATATAATCGTTATAAACTGATGGAGTGAATGAAAACCATTTGATGTGGTTTATAAATTTGAACTCATTAAATTGTAATCAAGAACAAGGTAAAGTCCTAATACAAATTAAGCCCTGTATTTTTCTGAAATATGAAAGTGATATAAGAAATTAAATTCATTCTTTTTGAATGATAAGGATCCCATGCAGTAAGAATACATAAATTGTTTTCCTCATATAAATTCCTAAATGCTAATTGTGACGTCATTAACTCGTGCATTTCCCCTATTTTCTTAAAATGTTGCAGAAGACATCAATTTTTAGTGGAATTTTCTTTCTGAAAACATACTCTGCCACCGTCGCCCACAAAGATTTTGAGATATGTGATTTTTCAAAGCCGTTTACATAAAATATCAAAAAATTGTAGTGGGCGACGGTGGCAGAGACTATCTTGTAAAGGAAAATAAGCACAAAAATGAGTCTTTCTGAGGCTTTTCTGCATTAAAGTTTGAAATGTACCAAATTAATTACGTCATATTTCCAGAGCGGTCTTCCTTCATGCTATATTTTTTAACTATTTATCATATTCACCTACTCAACACTTGTTAAAGCCAATATCATGGCTTCTTAAGAACATTCGATTTTTAGGGCGCAATAAAGCATAAACTGTACCTTCTTCTTTTTGTTTTCGTGGGTGTATTCAATAATTTTCCTTTGCAAGCTTACCGGTACAATTTATAGAAAATATGAAAAAAATACCCTAATTCATTAATATTTGGAAAAATGAGAAGTATTAGAAGACTCAAAATGTCTGTTTATCTCGTAAGATTTCAGTTTTTCTGAGAATTGGATAAAAAAATCGAAATAAATGACATCGTTTACACAGATATATCCGATTTATTTCCTCCAAAAAAGACAAGCTGGCGACACGGAAGCTAGCAAGCAAAATCTTGAGATATGGTCATTGCAGTATTTATCGTTATACAAATCCATTTCAGTATTCGCATTCCTTTGTACATGTAATAATATCTTTAATGAATTTGAAATATTAATGTTTCAGGTTTTTATTCTAACAATGAACAAAAACTATTCTGTGAAATATTTTAAAGTGTTAATTCCATAAGCTCTGTAATAACATATCACAAAGTTTATATTATATCAAACAGAATTTAGCTTCCTCTTCACAACAGCGATATCAGTATTATTAATTAGATTATTGTAAATACACAAAGTAGTTTAACGCCCCTCTCGAGAATTTTTCATTCATATGGATACGCCAATACTTGCTAGTGGACATCTACAATTGTTTGTCCTATACTCGGCACTCAGGGTCATTGAGCACTGAGGAGCCTTTTTCATTCTAGCACTTACGTATACTGTGGCACATGTCTTCGGTTTATACGATCTCATCCAAAGGACTGGTCTCCACTTCCACAGTTGACTTTTTAAGTGTACACCATAAGTTTAACCTATGAATTGAGTTTAATTTTTAAAACTAATTATACATTCCATAATACTCTTACAGCTTTAAAGTTAGGATAATTTATGATTTACACGTGCGTGAAATTGTATGTAAATAAATGTAAAAACTTTTAAGGTACGTCTTTAAATATTTTGTAAAATTAGAGTAAAGTTTACACTGATTTTACACGCAGAATTAGAATCTTTAAATATTACGCATAACATGAATAATTGGAGAAAAACATTTCTTTTAGCAGATTAAAAAATCCGTAATAAAATTCATACAACGTCTAAGTTTATAAAATCATGTAAATTCAAAAATATGAATACCACACAAGTTCCTACGAAATATCTGTAATTTTAATGTTGAAACTTGAAATATTATGAAGGATATTTCATATCATATTTATATTTGTACGTTCAACGTTATTTATGGATACCTGATATGGCAGTGCTCTGTTTGGAACAAATGAAAATGCAAGGTTGGAATTGAATGGGCATTTAATTAATAAATCAACACAAAGTGTTATCAACAATACAAACACAGTTCAAAACATTTGGTAATAGAAAGAAACACATATAGTATGTATCATCATAAAATTTTACTTTTAACGTCACTTTTGAAGTAGTTAAAAATGCTATCTTTTTAATAGATTATCTTTGAGAACCAAATACGAAGTCTTGTATGTTTTATGTTTTTAGCAATCAAATTAAAAATCATTTAAGTGTACATGTAAATCAGTATATTTTTACATTAAAACTTTGTAAAAACTTTCATTTTTTTAGTTTATTATAAAATGATTTCAAATTAGTATGATTGATTCAAAACAAAAGAGATAACATTTTAATAATTATGCAAACAAAGCAAACATAACTTACAAATATTTATAAACTTCATGCTTATAATCTAATAGAATTCTTATTCTTTTTTTTAAATTTTTGTTATTCGTTTTACTTCTAGTTATAAATGCACCATTAAAAGAAAGATAACCAAAACTGTTATTTTAAATTATTTATGTTAAATGTCCTTAACTTGGTAAAAAAGAAAAATAAAATGATATTATTTTAATACGTTGATATATATTTATAAGAAATTAGTAACAAGTTTGTAACTAAGTTTGTCTATACTAATAGGAAGTATGAACGCATTTTTTTTCTATAGGAATCAACTGTATAAACCTTCTATGTTCCGAATGGGATTATTCAGGCGAAAAAAGCATATGTACTTTTGTTTACTTTCCATATCAATGTGATTTAAATGTATCCGCCTATTTGCAGGTGACTTTAATTCGATGGTAGTCCCGTTCAAATTTCCGGAATTTAAGGCTTTTACATGTTCTTTTCAATGACATTGTCTGTAATTATAGAAATATGTATGACCAAAAATCAGTGCATAAATATCAAAAGCATAATGATGCACAATAATTATAGATTAATTTAACGATAAATATTGTAATGTAAAGATTAAAAGGAGTAGCTGAAAAGATTCTAAATGAATGAATGTTTATGAATGTTAGCAAAGGATCAATCCTCCATTAATTGTTACGGGAAAATACAATTTCTTTGTTAAAATGGAGAAATATGAACCATGTCCTATACATGTATTTAAATGTATATAATTGAACATGCTAGTAGAGACAAAACGGGATAATTAGAATATTAAACGTCTTAAGGTATGCACATAAAGCAAGTTTATTTTGATACTGTGATATTTCATTTTTAAACAACGCATTAAGAAAAACTTCAACATCAAAGCAATTTAGATTCAAAACAAAGAAAGTTTTAAATTTCTTGTTTTATTTAAATAAACAGAGAGGCAATAAGGAAGATCTAAAGTAATATCAATAAATTCACGGTTCATTTCAGAGGTCTAAGACAATCTCCAGCCGGAAAAACTTGAAACACCTTGGGCTTCAACATTTCGATCACCACCAGTTATTCTAACGAAAACGTGTTGTCCTCGTCGGACATATACAAGCACGGTTGTTGATCCACTTCCGTACCCCTCGTCACTATCGACGATTAATTTCCCCTTGACGGCCCCTCCGGCCACCAGTTCCGAGATTACCCACTGCTTGTGGTTGGTCATCAAGGTCCAGGTAAAAACGTAATACCCAGAGCGGGGGCACACGAAGACACCGCTGTGGCGATTGTATCGGTTTAATTTGTTGACGATAACTTGATTGAAAGGAACGGTTCCATGGTGATTTCTGAGATTGTGAGTTAGCCTTGCATAGAAGTATGCATTGTAGTAAGGTGCATGACGTATGAATCTATTTTTTATGTCTGAAAAAGAAAGAATATAATTGAACATGTGATTAAACAATACTTTAAAGAATATGTCAACCGAATGATGGTTAGGGAAAAATAAAAAGAACAAGTAAGAGGAATATTCGACTTTAATATTTAATCATAAATTCATTATTTTTATGTAAATTTACCAGACTTTCTGCAAATTTTGTTGCTTTAAAACATGTCAGTACTTCACAAAAAAGAACATCTGAATTTAAATTATAAAAATTACATGTATATCAATAGTGGTTGGAAGTGCATTTCAGTAACAAACATAGTTAGTAACCACTATTGAAATACGACCACTATTGAAATAGTTATATCAATAGTGGTTGAGAGTGCATTTCAATTAAGGAATGAAGCTTACTTCAACTTATGTTATCCGATATCACATAACTTGGGGCAGTTTACGCTTTATAAACCGCGAAGCGGTTTATAAATAAGCGTAAACTGCCCCAAGTTTGTTATATCGGATAACATAAGTTGAAATAAGCTTCATTTCTTATTATTTAATTTCAATGTACACAACGAGACAATATTTCCTCCAGAATAGGGCTTCAAAGTGAGCATTATTTTAAAAGTAACGTCGAGCGGAGTGATACGTTTTTGACGTAACTCATTGTTACAAGTGAAATCAAATTATTAGCAAACATAACAAACATAACCACTATTGTAATACGACCACTATTGAAATAATTATATCAATAGTGGTTGAGAGTGCATTTCAATAACAAACAAAGTTAGTATATCCACTATTGAAATACGACCACTATTGAAATAATTATTTCAATAGTGGGTGAGAGTGAATGTCAATATGGTATCCATAGGTTTCAACCACTTTTGAAATACTAACGGTATTGAAAGAAAAGTTTCACCGTTGGCATTATTAGCGAGTGTTTCGAACTCGCTAAAATTAAATATCACGTAAAAAAAATGTGTTTAATTGGTATGGCTTCATTAGTGAACATTTTAGAATCAATAGAATTAATTCTGGCTAAAAATAAAATACCATATTTTAAGGACAAATCGCAAAATTTGCTAAAATTTCCACTTATACGGTATTTCAATAGTGGTCGTATTTCAATAGTGGTTATTACCTATGTTTGTTATTGAAATTCAGTATCACCCATTATTAAAATAATTATTTTAATAGAGGTCGCATTTCAATGGTAGTTATTACCTATGTTTGTTATTGAAATGCACTCTCAACCACTATTGATACAATTATTTCAATAGTGGTTGTTACCTATGTTTGTTATTGAAATAGACTCTCAACCACTATTGATATAATTATTTCAATAGTGGTTGCATTTCAATAGTGGTTACTAACTATGTTTGCTATTGAAATGCACTCTCAACCACTACTGATATAATTATTTCAATAGTGGTCGTTATTTCAATAGTGGTTGCAACAGTGCACTACTTAAAATTAACAGCTACACATGATTGAAATTATTTTCAATGATTTTTTAAACATGCTTTATTTAAATTTCTGTTAAGATGGCTCAAAATCTTTCATCCCTTTAATTACTAATTTGAAAATTTAAAGATTGAAGATGTTCCAACTTTTTTTAAGCACAAAGTTATTACATGAATTTATTTTTCCCTAATGAATTAGGATGTTGCACTTCTTTTGCGTTTCAGTATATTTCCTCCATATGTCAGGTAGCTTTATCGATCAATTTGACAGATATTGTATAACTCCCGTGTCGAATACAGGCTTTAAATTTGAAGACATATACCGGTAAATGGTAGCGTTTCCATATGAATGAACATTCTTGAGAATGATGTCAATCAACTAAGACTTATTTAACATATTTTTTAAAGTCAAATATGGCGTATTTTTCATAACTTCAGACTAACTAAATTCTACAAGATCTTTCTATTTGTTTTGTTACTTTTATATAAAGATAGGACTTTCCTGTAAATTATACAGTTAAATTCATCGCGTTTCATAGATATCACAGATTTAAATCAATAACCGATTTCATTCAGACTCGGAATTTAATCAACAGCTCAGATAAGCCATATACATGTATAGCTTTAAGTTGAATTACTGGAAATACCACATCTTTTATAGTCAAACTGTGTTTGCATGAAGACCAAATTGATAAAAAAATTCGACTGAAATTCGATTGCTTTAGTTCTTTCTTTCGGTATCGAATTAATGATATTTTAATCATTCATATAAGTTCTTACTTAGAGTAGTTACTAGGGACATTTATTGCCATCTTACCTGTAATGGCGGCTTCGTCTTTCAGACATGCGCAGTAGTTGACCAGAAAGAAGGTAACACCAAGACACAATACGAGCATTGTTTCGATCAAAGTCAGTAATATGTCGAGTGGAGTATCCATTCTTATTTATAGAAAAACTGAATATTTGCAGATAGAGGCATGTTTTAGCAATTAATTAAGGTGTATGACAGATATCCTACACGTTTAATGTTTATTTTCTGTTAACATCTTGCCAATTCTATATAATTTCATTGATTGCCATGAACAAAATGAAAATTATCAATAATATGTCCAATATCAAAATAATTAATGACAAAACACTTATTTGAAAGAGATCATATTTCAAGAAATTATTTTCCAAGAAATTTATTTTTTACATATTTAATTTGTATGATAAATGAAATATGTTTCAAATTCCAATAAAAGCAGTTGACAAGCTAGGATTTATAGTATTTCACTCTGTTAAAATATATGAAGTTGTGCATGCGTCAGTGTTTTGCAGTTTTCTAATAAACATATGTTTCAAATGCACTGAAAAAAGTAATACATTGCCAAGTAATGCGTTTTAAATATCCAATACAAAAGTATATTTATGTAAATAATATATAAAACAGGTTTACAAATCTATCAAAAAAAACATTTTAAAGAAGTATAAATTCAAATATTTTATTAACGTAATGGAATTTTATGCATGCTTTCATCTAATTTCTTACACCTTGACGTTTGCAATTTTTGTCCTTTAAGATAGGAGAATATATGTGCTTTATGATCCTACATGTACATGTTACTGCAATATATTTACATTCATAGTATTTTTTTTTTAAAAAATCCATCCAGGACGTTCAAATATCTATAACATACCCAAAACCTTGTAACCGCGCGTTAGAATACACAGTAGGAACTATATGCATTTCAATACTCTATGAGCACCAAAATGTAATTTTTATTTCAATGGAATGTAAAACTATAATTCTTATAATTTAACGTTAAATATACAAAAAATGTGCGTTAGACATTAATTTACCACTTTTTTCTTGTAATGTTCGTTGCGTTATTTAACTGCACAACGTCACAAACGGATCTTGCGTCTCTTAAGTCTCTTCAGTGCAACAGTTTTGAAGGGTGCTAAATGCACATTAAAAATTTACAAAATAAACAGTTTGGTCGTGGTTTGCGACGATGTACATGTATATATCCTTGTATAAAAATTGATTAATTGATGGTTTATTTGTTGCTTAACATCCCTCTCGAATTTTATTAATCCTACATATGGAGATGATTATTCAACTTTAATTAGCACCTACTGCCATTGTGAAGTGAGGAACTTTTTTCTTGTCAGCACCTACTGTAACACTGAACCTCGGTTTAAACGGTCTCATCCGAAGGACTGGCCTGGGGGCCATAAAACAGTCGAGCTCACTTTTGATCTCAGTCTCACTTTGCCACTATATATTCCTTTGGTAAAAGTGAGACTGAGATCAAAATGAGCTCGTCTAAATTTTTTGGCCCCCAGGCCTGGTCTCAACGTCTCACAATGGGATTCAAATTCTCACTCCGCGACTCTCAACTTGACGCTCTAACCTCTGCACCATGCGAGCGACCTTTATATAAATAGAAAGAAAGAAATAAATGTCTTTTACGATCCACCTTTAAATTGCTTGTCAGATTTTTATTAATTGTCACAGTATAAAGAAATTGCAATAAATTCGAATAAAAATCAAGGTTAATGTACAGGTATAGGTTTGATACAAGTGACGTAACAATGTGTACACGAAACTTTAACGTGCACGTTATATTTGACGTCAAGGTCAGTAATATGATTTAGTTATACGTATACATGTACGCATTCAAATTTTCGTGAAATATGAATAAAGTAAATTAATTGTAAAGCAAAGATGTCATAAATAACGAATAATTATTATATGTATTGTCATTTCACTGCAGTGAAGTGCTTAGAATTTAAATATTTTGTTTGTCTCTACAGGACAACCTTTTTATGCACCACTTAAAAAATGGGGACAGTCATACCGATTCGAAATTGACAACCAAAAAAGACCACATTAAGCGGGTTATGTAATTTTTTCTGCAATAGCTGCGACCATTAATTCCAGTAATAACAAACAAAGAAAGACAATTCATTGTTTATATTTACATCTGTTTAAATAATCATTTAAAGTAGAATTAAAAAGATTAATTATTGTATTAAAGACGTACAACACACTGGGGGAGATAACCCTTGCGATTTCAATTGAACGTTTGACGTGACGTCAAATTAACGTCAAAAATAAAGCGTCAAAACGACGAGTAAAACGATCCCGATGTATATCAATCTTGAAAGAAAATTGGGATACGGGGCTTGGCTGTGATTGTGCGTACCATACTCAATCAATAAGTATGTTTTAATGAACCCGATTAAACTCCGTAAAAAGCAATACATAAAATACCATCCCTTAATGTTCATTTCATTGCATTTCATATACAATAAATTGTATTTTTGATCAAAGCGCAGCATTTTTTTTTATTCTGAAAATTTTATTTTACATTGCCGAAATTCTCATTATGTACAATTGGCTATATAACATTCCGATTAATGGTCTTCATTACAATTTGTGTATATACGATATAAATAGTGTTTTTCTTCTTTAATTAAATAAAACAACAATAAATAAACAAAAAAATCGATGTTGTTCTCAGACCCTTACTGATCAAAGAGGAACAACTCTGAAAATGTAGGAGATGTTTATTTTCCTCCCTTTAGTCACGGTTTGCCACAGAATCAGATACATTTACAGCAAGACCTGATAAATCCGAGAATTGAATACTATAGACCTCATATACACAATGTAAGTATAGAATTGAAAAGAATTGTTCACTTGTACTGAAATTATCTGCATTTATGAATATCCTATTGCAGCAAATCGTTTGACTTTCTGTCAACAATGTCGGTTCGCATTTCCTCGAATCAAAACAAAACGTAGCCTGTAAGATTTAAAAAAAAAATATCAAAGTGCGATTTGATATAAATCGAAATAGATGAAGAGTTTCATGTTTGATATTTTGAAGTTAATGTGGACGAATACGGATTTTCATTTTAACTTTATTAGAAGCGACGACATTGAAAGAAATGCGTACAATATCATGAGGGGTGTGTATACATCTATGCAAATGTCGATGTATCCCCACGGCCACATTCTGTCTCGTTTGAAATAATGACATGAAAGAAACTACAATTATTCCATTTATATCACAGGAGAGTTGAGCATACACCATTTTTTTAATGAATAAAATTAAAGAAATAAAATTAAAAATCAACATATTCAAGTTCAACAAAACTTAAATTCGTATCCAGGTTTCATGTGATATGGAATGCATAACGCATACATATACATGTATGGACTAAACACTAAAATCCTTCAGTATTTTTTTTCCTGATACATATAAAAAGAGTAGTCAATATTTATTCTGCATTCATGAATTTTAAAACTGATGCATACCTCCGGGATTCAAATGACGAAATACCAGTATATTTGCACTGTAAACGACGTTTCGTCAAACGCTAATGGTCTGCGACGCAAAAAAGGAAGGGGTGGGGGTGATAGGGGTATTCAAAAATTGCCTAAAAATCTACATTTAAATACGCTTTACATATGAGAACTTTTAAATTTGTGAGTTAATATATTTTTGAAGCAAAAGCAGTATTCCAATTTAATTTTTTTTAATGTGTATATGTAGATTCATATAACAAAGTGATCGACCCCCGTCTGAAAGACGCGAGGGAACGTGATTTATTGAGAAAGGGGGAGGGGGTAGTTTTCCGCTATTAAATCAAAACTAGTCGTACAAAAATTATACAAAAAATTATGAAGATTATTTTTACTCCCAGCTACCTAAAGAAAGTTTTTTACCAAAATTAAACGACAGGTTTTTTCACAAAAAAAATTTGAATTTGAAAAACGCGCAATTTTCAAGGCTTAGATAATTCATAGTTTTTCAGTTTAAGGTCTTTAAAAATTATTTTGATGACATGTATATCAAAAAGATGACTATGTTTTTGTGTTAAATGGTTAAGGGAATAAGCCAGTGAAATTTGACATTTATATCTAACCTGGCTTTTTTGAAAATCAAGGTTTAAGTAGTTCATTGATTAAAAATTTTCTCTTCTTGTAAACAACTAAAGGGGGGTAACTTTTCGAAGTTCCTGTCCAAAAACCACTCGAACGATTTTGTCCAAAATGTGCATACATGCAGTAGATATAGTCATGTACTAAATATACAAAAATAACGAAAATTAAACGACAGGAATTTTTTTTGGTAGGTGTGTTGTACATCCTTAATGATGCGAACGTCTTTATACGTTTCATTCATGGAACAGCCATTGATCAAGAAATCTGTACAGGTGACATGCCTAATGTAGTTCATGCAGTGATTAACGCAATGGGTTTTTCTTAAGAAATAAAGGAGAAAATATTCAGTAGAGGTAAATATTAATAAATGTTAGTTGTAAAATTAAAAACAGAATAAAACAATAATAAATGCAGTAGCTATTAAAACAAAGTAGTAAATAATTTAGATTCCTCTAACAAGATAAGATTTCGGTATAGGTGTACAGTGTACAGTGTACTTCGATCTGATTGGATGATTGGCTAATTGGATTAACCATGGCCATTGCATACACAGTGTCTCTGCCATGCCAGATTGCAAATTCCATCTGTTGACTTGTTTTATTATTCATCAGATGCCAACAATAAACAATAAATAATGCCCCCCCCCCCCCCTGACATGTCTGGTTGCTAATTTTAAGAACTTTATCATTAACGTTATCAATGGTGAGTATATAATTATAACAACAGTATTTCATTACAAAATTTGCTGCCAGAAATGTTTTATTAAATGAAATAACTCTCTACATTATCTTATTAACTGGCCTTTTGATATCTAAAGTGTGTTAATATATTAATTAAATTGATATGTAAGCTCGTGATGAATGGACAATTTAATTGTATGCATAAATAAGTGCTGGGAATTAGCAATTTCTTCAGATGTTCAGATGTACCCATTGGTAATACATATACGTATTTTTAAACTATTAAGTAGTAACAATTTTTCAAGAGAAAATAGTCCATCCAACTATAAAATCTTTTGAACTCTCTTCATTCGTGTAATTTCTGAAATTCTGATTTTTTGACCATTTACAAAATGTTTGGATTTGATCTAATTTCTGTAGCATTTGTATAATGAAACATTTGTACAGGATACATAACAATATACTGAGTGAATTAACTTCATTTTTATTTAACACAAAAATATGTTCCTTTTTCATACATGTAGACTCCAAATACATATACATTTTATTATAGTTACACATCTAATTATCAAACATATGGACATATATCCAAATGCAACTCAAATTTTAAAAAAATCAAATTTACAGTTTGGAATCAATTAAACAGAAAACAGATAAGTAACTGCATAAACATAAACAATACACATATCATTTTTGTACATAATGCACATAGAGAATTAAAACATGTACCTAACTTAGGTATCTGTCAAAAAATAGTTCTGTCTTTGTATGTATCTATATACAGACACTATGTCAGTACATTCTGATGATCCACATCCTACATAAAGAAGATGAGTTTCGTGATCATAGGCCAGGCTATAAAGCGCATGTATAACCCCTTCTTTGGTCAACAGGAGTGACAAAAAGTGACCATCCTTGTCAATCATCTGCACAGTGTCAGTGAGGTTATCGACCACCAGGATGTGTGACAGGGCGTCTGTACAGATTCCTGTAGGCCGTAGTCCTTGTTGCAGTCCTGATCCTGATGGAGGCCCCGTGTAAGAGAACCGATGTTTGCCCCCAGCGTCAACCACCACTACAGCACTGAGATTATAGTCTGACACAATAATATCTCCATTGCAATTTTTTGTGAGGTACTTTGGATCTCCATATAAATTTTCACCTTTGTTGTCGAATCGGATAGTTTGGATTTCTACTTCCCCACTGCTGTCATACCGCTTTACCATGCCTGTTTAGGTATCGTAATTAAAAATCCTCATCCCAATAAGTAGTTCTCCAGAGGAAACACAGTAATGGAGACAGGTGGGTCTCAATGAATCTGTTATCCTCATTAACATGACCATTGAGTGGCTGTCTGTCTGAATTTTGACATCACCTTTGATGTCAATATAAATAAGTTCCCCAGCACTTGATACTGTGTGCACACCTCCAAAAGCAGCTTTGTCTGTGACTTTCTGAAGAGTTTCACCAGAGTTGTCTGTCAAGATGAGATTGTTCCAATCACTAACCCAGAATTTATCTGGTGTCACAATAGAAAGATGACGACCATAACTGATATCTTTTACTTTCACCGACCTCTTTAACACAGGTTTAGACATCATTTTGAACAGCTGTTCATTTACTACATGTGTTTCAATAAAGTCTTATTGGATTTTTTTTAATAACAGACACACAGCATATTTGTTTAAATTATCACTTATAGACAAAAGAGGCACTTGCTTTACCTTTATAGTTGCTTTGGTATTTTTGATGAAATTTTCTTGTAGAATAAAAGGAGTGGTACAGCTATGTTCGATAAACACTCAGTCCTGTGTTCATAATATTCAGATTTAGCCAGAAATGTATTTAGTTTGGACATCTGATGTTGCAGTGTTTTAAACAAAATAATGCTGTATTTTATTTTATCATTTAACAACACAGTATCAGTTAGACCCTTTAGTCTTGTAGCCTTTGAGGACATTGCTGATTGAATACCTGACATTTTTATACTGCATGTTTTCATCTGACTCTTAATACCTGTTAAGACAATATAGTTCTTGTAAAGAATCTCACTTCTGATTTTGTGAATATTTTCTTTGTGTTGCTGTCGGGTTTTTTATAAGCATCTTCCAGATCCAATTTTTCATGACTTTTATGCTCTATACACAGATTACTGACAGGAAGTTCACACAAGTGACAGTACATTTCATATATCATTTTTGGATGTCTTCTGCAAATCTCAGCTTTTTGGATACTTCCAGATTTCTCTCTGTAAATCACAACATCATGGTAAGCCGTATCTAGATCAATGACATGTCTCTCTTTACACTGTGGACAAAGGTTACTTTTACATGTATTGCAGTAGAATTCTGTGTCCCCATCACAATTAGAACATGTCTTTATCATACACTGTGTGCTGAAATCTTCCATGATAATATCTCTGTCTTCTCCATACAAACAAACTGTTTAAAATACAAACCAATTTTTTATATTGTATATGTACAATTAATGAAATGAATTCATTTTCTATGAATGAGAGATTGAAAGATACATGTACCATGACTTAAAATTATACCATGAAATGAAAAAAAGCATAGATTTATACGATTTATATCTGTGAAATAGACCTGATTTCAAAGGCTTCAAAAAAGATTTTGGTTAATTTTCACAATTATTTTCATACGTCTATGGATTACAAAAAAAAGTAAACCTGAAATTTGTCTATAGGACAGGATGCCTTGCCAAGTGTATATACATTGTAAGTAGAAGTACACGAAAATTTGTATTAGTGTTATAAAGTTTGATTAAAATATTTAGTTTCTATAAAATACTTGATTTTGACTGGATAAAAATTTCTTTTGATATCTGCATCAATTGAATCTAGAACTAGATGCTGTCATGAGACAGTAATACCCGCACTAAGGTGTTTGCCTCTTAATACACACTCGTACATATAAGGCTTAAAGCCTTCCAAGGAAAAGTCAAAATAATTCTATAATTTACACAGTACATGTATTCGTCACATTGAGTATAACATTCTCAGACCCTGTGACTATGTGACCTATGACTCAGTGCCTCTTATATGTATTTTATTAGATAGAACGTTCTATCGTTAAAATGATATTGTCCTACGGACCCGGTTTAACGATCTGTGGTGAGGGCTTGTATCATTAGATCATTCTAACCAGTATTTTATATGCTTCATAGGCGTTGGAAGGAAATTGAAAGTGGGGAGGGGGGGCTAAACCAACAAAAAAGGTACACCCCAATTTTCAATACATAGAAAATGTCCATCTTTGCAAAAAAAAAAAAGGGGGGGGGGTAGCCCCCCGGTTCAGACGCCTATGTGTAAATTAGATTTTAAAAAAATGTTTTGCTCATAATTGGTACCTTTTTAAATTTAATAATGCCCCCCCCCAAAAAAAAAAACACAAAAACACCACACAAAGACACACTCTCACGAACCGTACTTTTGTTTTAATAGGATACACATGAAGATGGAAAAGTTATGTTAAAACACAGTTTGTTATGAATTAATTTTAAAATTTGTTCTTGAACTACCGTAAATCTGGAAATTTTTGCTGTAGATAAATTTTTAGCAAATTTGCAAATTCATTGCATTCGCAAAAATATTTGTCTTAAAAATAATTCAACAATAAGAAAATGTAAACAAAGTAGTGGTCATTCGCAAAATTTTGAAACGTAAAAAATATAATCAACAGCATTTTGACCTAGATTCGCAAAATAAATCAACGTAAAAATTTCCAGATTTACGGTATACATGTTTACATGTAAACACCTTTTGGAAAATTTCTACATTACATTGGGTTGCGTCACCCATTATCATATTTTTAGATTAAGCCCTACTCGGCACACCTCGGCCGATTCGTGCTTCATCTGCATTTAGCCAAGGTTTGTCAAATAGGATAACATGCACATGCTGCAGTGTGATGTGTATTGAAAAAATCATTTTGTGTTATAATTGGATTATATTTCATGAAGTTCATTGGACCTATGACAATCGGTAAGTACAAGTTAAAGTATAGATTGGGGTAAAATGAACCGAAATGCAAAATTTAGATTAGGTTAAAGTGACATTCAGTTACAGGTGCAGATCAAGATTTTTTTCAACCACAGATCCAGACGGGGGAGGGGGGTTCACATCTCAGTCAATAAAATGTCATCCCAGAATTAATTTTCTCACAAACAAAGACAAAAAACTGAAAACAAAATAAAAACAATGATAGTGGGGTCGTGGGGTCAATGTTTTCTAAGGGGGATGATGTCCAAAGTAATTTTTTATTTGCTTCAGTATATAGCCTTATTTAACTAAGAAAGCAAACTCCGGGGGTGGGGGGGGGTCCAATCTCCCTAGCCACTCCCTGTTCCTGAAATTGCAATTGATCTTTTGACTCCAAAATAGAATTTTTTTCCATTTGACTATATATATATACATATTTTGTTTCTTGTGTTTATAAATAATGTCTGACTGTTTGTCTGCAGAAATTTGATCAGTAATTTGGCTTAAATTTTTGATCAGGAGGTGCTAGGGTTTTCATGCTTAACATGTGTATTCATTGTAAACTTTCAACAGGTATAAATATGTTTGACCTTGGCCCTAGAGTTAGACCCATTTAAAAAAAAGAAATTAACCTTGGCAATTAACTTTTTTTGAACAGGAAGTACTAGGGATTTCTTTATATTTCACATGTGCATTCCTTGTGACAAGACTTTCTTTCGATACCAACAATTTTAACCCTTTGACCTTGACCTTTGAGTTTGACATACATTTGAGAAACTTCAACCTTCGCCATAAGCTGCCATACGTGGGCATCAGTGTTTAACAAACACATCTTGTCTTTATTACTCTTAAGTGGCGGTGTCTCCATATGAGGGAAAAATTCCCGAGAGAGATATTTTCACAACAAACAAACAATTAAATTACTAAAAATAACATAAAACATGAACATGTTGGTTGTATCTCTTGTTCTCCCTTGAATCAGAAATGATTACATATTACATATAAATATTTTAAAAATAATTACATGTATTATAAGATTTGAAAAGGTTGTTCATCTTAAAATTGTTCTGTGGTTGAATTAGCTATAAAAGTTTACTAGCTTTATTTTGCTGCTCAAAACACCTTGATTAACTATTTTCAATGATACTGTTTTCTGAAATGTTCAGTTTTTTCAATAATGGATACATATGTCATACATTTTCAGTTTCTCAAAAAATTGCATGAAAAAAAAGCTTTTCAAATACTGTAAGCATGGTAACCTTTACAAAATACATGTGAATCCTATGTTTTTAGCTCATTTGAGCTTTTCAGTTTTTTTTAATCACATTACGTCTGTTGTCCATTTGTTTGTATGGAAACTTTACATTTTTAACTCGTCTACAAGCACTGGGCCAAGTTTAACCATTTCACATTGAAATCAGTATATGTACATCTGTATGTCAGTCTGTCAATTTAACCTTGGTCATCACAGTCATATCTATTGAATGAGAAGAGACAAGGCATTTGTATTAAACATATGTATAATTAGTATTTACCTATGACAATGCCATGATTTTTGTTACCCATGACCTTGAAGTTTGACCTACTCGCAAAAAAATTACATTGTTTTAAATTCATCATTTTGAAAGAATTCATATTATACATGCATGTATAATATTACCTGTGATAAGACCTTTCTAAATAAATCATGAATCTGTGACCTTGACCTTGAAGCTTAATCTACTTTTCAAAATGTTGCATTTGCTTATAACTTTGGATTGAGAAGAGATATGACTTTCACATTTGACATGTACAATACTTGTAAGAATTCAAGATGTTTCCCAGCATGCTATGATTTTTTACCCTATGATGTTAATGTTTTACAAAATTTTCAAAATATTTAACTCTCCTAAAAGATGATCAGGCTATTGATTTAACCCCCGGGGGCAAAATTAAAATTCTGAAACCTTACTGCACATTTACATGACACCACCAACCATCTCCCAAAAGATGATAAGGCTGCTGAGTAAAATGTAGAAGGAGTTCAGGGAAGACGGGGCTTTTAGCGTTAAAAACGTCATTTTTCGACCCCCATTTGACCCCCGGGGCAAAATCAAAATACCGAAACAATACTGCACATCTACATGGCACCACCAACCATCTCCCAAAAGATGATTAAGCTGCTGAGTAAAATGTAGATGGAGTTCAGGGAAGACAGGGCTTTTAGCATGAAAAACGTCATTTTTTGACACCCATTTGACCCCCCGGGGCAAAATCAAAATACCGAAACCTTACTGCACTTCTACATGACACCACCAACCATCTCCCAAAAGATTATTAGGCTGCTGAGTAAAATGTAGAAGGAGTTCAGGGAAGACGGGGCTTTTAGCATAAAAAAACGTCATTTTTCGACCCCCATTTGACCCCTTGGGGCAAAATCAAAATTCCAAAACCTTACTGCACATCTACATGACACCACCAACCATCTCCCAAAAGATGATTAGGCTACTGAGTAAAATGTAGAAGGAGTTCAGGGAAGACGGGGCTTTTAACATAAAAAACGTCATTTTTCGACCCCCATTTGATCCCCTGGGGCAAAATCAAAATTCCGAAATCTTACTGCACATCTACATGACACCACCAACCATCTCCCAAAAGATAATTAAGCTACTGTGTAAAATGTAGGAGGAGTTCAGGGAAGAAAAGTGTGACAGACGGACGGACGGACATGAGTAACAACAATATACCCAAACTTTCTTTAGAAAGTGCGGGTATAATTAGCATGCACTAAGCAACCAGGGCCTACTTTGGTTGTCTTTACATATTCATTTATCGCTTTTAGATTATTTTTTGAAGGAATAATTAACTAGTTTTACTTCAGTAGATATTTTTCTAAATTTCGAAACTTATTAGTTATGTTTCTGACTTTTTCTGAATTAATTTTTTACTTTCGTTTCTTATCGAATTATTATCCTTTTTTGCTAAACAAATCAAATCGTCAACTTTACTACAATATACATATAGGGGAAAGAAGGAAAGAAATCAGCATGTTTGTGTTAAATGATTGTAAGATGGTATGGACAATAGAACTGTAAAGATTTTTTTTATGCTACTAAACCTTGGAACTGCCCTTAATCTCTTAATTATTAGGACAGGAATGATCGAGAAAAACGACATCACATGAATGAGGACAGAATATTCTTTTAATCTTAAACAATCGGCAGCAGACTCTTTAAGATTTTACCGAAATTGGCAGGTTGTGATACGTAATTAAAGGTTCGGTTTCAAATTCAGATGCTAAATGTTATAACACAAAAGGTTAGGTTTTTGAATAACCATTTCCATTTTTGTTAGAAAAGGTTGGTAATGACACAACCATATTTGAAAACGTTGATTTATCGTTAGGCCTCTATAAGTTAGCCATTTTGAA